ATTTAAGTTTTAATTTTTTAATTTAATAAATTTGGTCACATGAGATGTTAAAAGAAAGAGAAAGACAACTAATAATAGTTGATTAAAGTATTAAAAACTGCATGATATATTTTAGAAAAGAAAGAAAAGAATTTAGAGTAAAAAAATAAAGAAAAAGATATTTAATTAATTTTTTTCATAATAAAATTATTTATTTATATTTGATTCAAATATATAATAATTTCACCTTACAACGATCGCAATTCACATAATCACAATAACCATTGCAATCGCATTTGTAATTTAGAATCATAATAAGGATATTGCAACATTTCATTCAAATATTTATATAAAAAAGGAATATACCCCACAGGTTGAGATCCATTTATGTAATAAAGAACACTAAAATAAGGGAAAAGACAGTCCATGTGCTGCAGGTAAAATAACTTGTTATTCTGGGATTAGCTAATAAAAACTGTCTTATATAGAAGAAAATTTGACAGATTCAAAATTGTAGTGAAGATAGTAGAATAATGATGTATCGGTAATTAATTAAAATGCTATATTGCAGTAGCGAAGGTGGGTATCTTCGTTTTAGTAGCTAAAGTACAAAAGTTATAAACTGACATGATATCTATATATGGTTATGATATTCATGAAGAACAACATGCAGCATTATGAATCCAAAAATGTTAAGAATTTAATTCCCTCATTACTGCACTAATATTTCCTTTTAATTATTTGATCTTGATCTTAATGTCTCTTTACCTCTATAGTCCAAATATTTTATGGTATAAGGACCAAATAAGGTTGGTCCTGGTGATTGTTCAAATCCAAATTATAATAATAACTATATATAATCTCAAATGTTCCACTTCTTATTTAATAAGTAGTTCAAATATTCAACAGGAAGATTGGCAAACAAGTTGAACAATCTAAGACAATTCACCTATGAAGAGATAACATAACAAATGGATGAAGGAGAGAAACACATACTTTTTGCATCACTAGAATGTCTTTGGCGGTTCCTTTTGAAGGATCTACATGTCCCATAGCCTTTAAAGTTCTTTTTGGTACTAGTTTCAACATCTTTTCATAGTCTCCTCCACTCTCTTGCTCAATGATCCTGACTTTGTCCATAGCAGTACCAGACCAGAAGTCTCCATCAAAGTAAGGCAAACGAGCAGCTGTTACCTTGGAGTCCCAGTTTCCACTAGAAACAAAGAAATTATCGTATATGTTGGTTAAACCAACAACGATATTTTCTTGGGCAGCCTTTCTTAGCATTGAAAGATACCTGCATAAATTAAACAAACAATAAATACAAATACTCAATGGCATAAAAACTAAAACACACACATAAGGAGAGAAAGAAAGACAGACCAGTGTCGAAGTTTATCATTCTTCGGTGTTTTTTGAGTGTCAGGATGACAATATAGTATGTAATCTTCCCCCTTTATAGGTGGACAGGCCCATATATAGCAAGTTGTGAAACCACGTTTCTTGCAAAAGTCTAGATATCCAATCTGACGATAGATAAGGAAAAACATGAATAAAAGAAATGAAAGGTTTGAAGTGTCTATTGTGTCGGTTAATTGATGTAATAAATGAACCCTAGTGGAAATATAAGCAACATACCAATATCTCATGGTAAACGAAGGTACGAAGAGCTTCTCCATTCATGGTCGCTCTTTGGGGCCGAAAATACTTGACAGAATCAAGATATGAAATATACACACTACGCTTATTTGGATTGCCACATTCGGATCCAAACTCCTGGACATACATTGCGAAAAGGCATACATCTACACCTTCAATCTGCTGAAACAGAAGAATAACCTGAAACAGGTGGAACCGCTGTCACTTCTGAATATAATGCCAGAGATTTACTCCTCAAGTAATTAAAAAAAAAAAGAAGTTATATCTTTTCATTGATTAACCTCTGGACTTACTTTTGATGTATAAGGAAACTCGGCTGGGTAATTCTCCTCCGCAAATATCTCTAGAAACTGTTTCTTCACTTTCAATTGTTTCTCGACAGATAACACTACTCTAACAGAAAGATTTTCTGCTAATAAAACCTAGCAATTTAGAGTCACACAAGGAAAATCAGAAAATATGAACTTTTTAAATTAATATCTAAAAAATTTAAAATGAAATTGGAAGAAGCAACTGATAAAGATCAACAACATCAATAATATAAGAAGAAGAATATCTTGTAAATTGTTTAATACCTAACTGCAGCCTTTTTTGGGACTAAGTTCTTTAATGATAAATTAATATCTAAACATACTGATAGATTACTAATTTACATCTATTTCCAATTTACTTGTTTGCTTGCAAAGGAATAAGAATAGGTTTTAAGATAAAAAGTTGATGCATATTCATGCCAATGCAAAAATATGCAATAAACAGTATTGTATGCCTTACTTCATCAAGATTCTTATTCCCTTCGACTTTTGCCCAATCTTCACTCTCTTGCATGAGACGCTTAAAAAGTCGCCTCTCTATATGGTCACTTAGCATGGTGCTTGGCAAGTCCTTAGCACCAAACATAGCATTCTTTGGTAAGGGTACATGCATTCCATTTTCAATTTCCTTTAAGCGACATATAGGACACGTATACTCAGCACTGTTGTCCAAATCTCTTTTATCGTTATAGAGTGCACATATTTGATGCTGCCAACTTTTGCATTTACTGCATTCAACCCACTGAAGAACCAATAATCATAAAATGTGAGTTTTAAATTTTATATAAAGGTGAATTATAGTAGAAGATATTAAACTTACTGCTTCTTCAAATTCTCCATTGTTTGTCTTTTTATCAAGATCTGTCTTGGAAACAGATGTCCCATTGAATGTGATGTTACCCCCTCGAGAATTCCTATAACACACAGTGCAAAAGCAAGGTTGTGTATCATCTTCTTCTCTTCTATAGTAATAGTATGAGTTTCGCTTTATACGGATGCCGCAACAAAAGCAATAAATTGGCAGGGGGGCAAAATGAAGAGTTCCCATTTCACATAACTGGCATTCAAAACCATCAACTGCCGGTTCTTCAACCGTTGTACTCTGTTAAAAAGAAACATCAATTGGTATATGTTAAAATATAAACTTATTTAAAGTTTTATTTGACTAAATAAAAGCCTAATTTCTAGAAATTATTTAGTTTAAATTCTATAAATATAATGTACAAGAATCTCCTTAGAAGATAATTCTAGAGTAATATATAGAATTGTCTAGAATATGTGAGTAGGTCTTAATTTTAAAATTATTCTAGAAAGTCATTTGTAACTTTTAGATTAAGGTTATTTGGTAAAATCCTATCTATTGATATAGGAGGAGTCACTAGTATAAATAAGAGTTGTCTTTGAATTTGTGTCAAGTCAAAATCAAAAAGTTATAATCAATTATATATAAAATATCTCTATCCAAAATTTCTAATTTTTATTATTTTTAAATATTTCTTCCACTAATAATGCAGCATATGTTGAAAAGAAATCCTAAACAATTTTGTAAAATATAAAAATTCATATGTTCAAAACAAGCTCATTCTCATGCAAGAGTCCTATGAAATCAAAGATTGAACAATGTAATGCATACTTCAACATATTTTAAAATTTAATTTCGTTTAAAGAGTGAGGGTTCCGAGTATAGAACTCTTGATCATTTGATCAAGAAGACAATAATAGTAACATGTTAAGGCCAGCTTTGTTAAAAATTAACATGACATGATAGCAATGGCTCTTAAGTCAAAGTTTTTAGGAGACATGGTCTTCCACCTAAATGTCTCCCGAAAGTTAGCCCTTCGACCTAATAGTTTAACTTGGGAGATAGTCCTTTAAAGCACCCACTAGATAATAAAATAAAAGGAAGACCTTGTTTAGTGATTGAAGCTTCTTGTTTGAATGTATAAAAAAAATATTAATATTAATATGATATCTTATATTATTCTTTAGGATTTAGTTTTTATGCATTACCTCTTCAGTTAGTTACCATATATTCTTATTTCATGATTCTTTTCCTATTTAATTAGGACTATAATTAGTAAAAATAAAGATTAGAACTCTTAAGTTTTATGAACTTACAAATACATTGTAATATATTTCATTACAAGATAGAATATTGTACAAATTTCTTCTCTCTCTCAATAACAAAAATATTCATTATTTCAACACTTAAACAATTAACACATAAGATAAGGCATACACTGATTCGGTGCAGTTGCTACCAAGTATACTTTTTAAAAATTAGCTTAATATTGCAAGAGTATTACATTAATTATTATTAACAAGAAACAGATCTGGTAATGGAAAAGAGTGGATAATGGTGTACTGACCTGATTAAATTGCTTTCTCAGACTTGCAATGTGTTCAGTTATTTGATTACATGTGAAAAAATCAGTTAAGGAAACAGTATTAACCGTTGCATTTGAGGATTCCGTTTCCTTCTCTTGATCAGCTTTTGACTCCATGGCTTTCTTTGTATCATTTATCCCATCCTGAGTCAACCCAGTTCCACCTTGTATGCTCTCTACATCTGCTGGCATAGGTTCTGTGCAGAGAATATGCACATTGGAATTAGATCCAACGATAGTTTCCTCTGAGATTCTGACGTTGTTTATATCAGCAGACATAAGTTCGTTGTAGAGAGTATGAATGTTGGAATTCGATCTAATAACAGCTTCTTCTGAGTTGCTGATGTCTTTCACATGATCGCTGTTGCGGACTGTTTCCTCTATATCAGCAGGCATAGGTTCACTGCAGAGATCATGCACAATGGAATTAGATCTGGTGACGGTTCCATCCAAGTTGTTGCTGACTTTCACGATTTTGGAATTTAGTTCTTCTGTATGAGTAGACATAAGTTCTCCGAAAGTGTGCACAATGGAACGAGGTATAGTAATGGAAGGTTTAACCACACTTTTCCCTATGTTGCCATTGACTTTGACATCATTGCTTTTGGGGTCTGATTCCTCTGGTATGTGATCAGCAGCATCTAAATCTTTTAAGAGATTTTCTTTATTCTTTAAAATATTCTCAAATGTATCACGATTGCTCTTTATCTCATTATTGATTATTGAATCAAGCATTGGATTTGTAAGTTGTTCGGAATTGCACCCTGAAACTTTAGAATAGATAGGTGGGAGCGAAGATTCTGGCTGTTGCTGCAATTGAACCATTTTGTGAGTCCACCAATCCAAACTTGCATTATTAATTAAAGGATCACCAAAGGCAGATTTCATTTTTCTTCTTTTGACAGCAGGTGATACCATGTGTTCAGAACTATCGTAAGAGGCATTATTTTTTCTTACAACAGAACTCTTATTAAGGCTATTCGATTTCAAATAACGCTCACGAGTATAAGTGCCTAGCAATTTCCAGGAGGAACATGTTTGACAATTACCATCTTGACAGGCATCAAAATGCAATAACAGCATGCTATACTTTCCACAATTACATATCCCTTCACCACAAGCTTTTGAATGCAGATGTTTCATAGCAAGATCCAGTGAAAAATCGCTTGCTTTTTTGTAGAAAAGATATTGAAGCACGATCCTTTGTATATCTGTTAGTTCAAAATTACTATCGATATTCATATTAGCAGATCCATCTAAACCAAAAAGATTTGCTGCTGAGCTTCCTGAAGTGAACTGTTTATCCGCATCGGGACTTAAATGCTCCGGCTGTTTCAATGTTTTCTGACCCAATATTTGACGGAGATGTTCACCTTGACTGACAAAGCAAGAATTAGGCTGAACAATAGAAGTTTTATCATGAAGAACATGTGACTGCCTAAAATGTTTGAGATTCTGTTGAAAATCTGGCTTCTGGTGTTGATGTTGCCTTATATCTCCAAAGCTGCTTGAGCCAGGAAAAAGATTGGAAACTCTTGAAAATTCTCTTGAGACATGTGGAAGGCTCAGAGAATTTGAACATTCAGATTGGAGGGACTTTCCCTTTGTAGTAATCATAGCCATTGAACAATCTACATGCTTCATTGGATCAACCTCCCCTACAAAAAAAGTCAAACGAACTTGTAAACAACACATCATGTGTAATAATAACAATAGTTCTTGCAAAAGAAAACAGAAAAAACAAAAACGTGTGTAAAAACAAAATCAGAGAACATGTACTAATTGCAACTTATGAAACTACAATAATGGTATAAACCTACAATTGTTTGGATGTTGCTGAGGAAAATGACTATCAATTGATTTGGACCTAGTTTCCAGATTAATATTCGCAGCAGAAACAGAAAAGTTAGAAAGCACATCCACATCGGTGCATGTAGTGATTGATGAACACTTATCAGATGATTGATTGTTGAACACTTTCTGAAAAGCAGGTTGTGATAAATCTGAAGAGGGCACTGTCTTAGATGTACAAGTAATAGAACTATCAGCATTTTGGCTGCACTTTGTTCCTGTCAACTTTTTCAGTACAGTATTCAATCGATGTATCAACGTATTCTGGTTCATGTACTCCTCCTACAAAATATGTAAGAAAAGAAAAATCATCAATAAATTCCAAGTTGCTTAATTAAGAAAATTTGGACTCAAGGTGTATTTGATACTCTCATTGTCTTGTTAACAAATGGAAATCTCACATGCTTAGACACAGTTTCAGAAACAAACCTGTGAAGAAGCATTAATAAATAACTCGTTTTCCAGAATATTTGTTATAACTGAAGCCCGTTCTTTGTCATATTGGAGTCGGCACCTGAAAAATGCAGAACTGAAGTAAAATTTAGTTAGTCCCGATTCAATAAAAATCTTATACCACCACTAATAATTTCAGTCTCTTTTGTACCTTATTTAGATAAAAATTATACAAGTTCAGGTTAATGTAAAAATTTATATTACTTACATTTTATTTCTAATCAAATTTCGGCCGTGACTGATTGCAGTATTCTTACGCCAGTCTGGAAAGATCCCTACTTGATTCCTTGCATTATATTGATTGCTTAAATCAAAACCTGCCTGCAGAGGAAGATTTGGACCAAATGATGCAGAATTTCCTGGTAACTCTATGCAGGTTTTTCCGATATTAGAACCTTTGGCGTGCATCTTGTTGCTTTATCACAAACTATTTATTCTGCAAGGATAAGCCACTAGAAATTATTAATGAGTGTTACAGAAAGTGCATGCATACAATATATTTTTTCTTATTTAACTAGGAAGACATCCAACAAATGGCATGACAACCAAACAGATAAATATCGGACATGTGAACTGTGAATCTTCGGGACATGTGAACCGTGTATGTAAATAGAAATAGTCAATTATAAAATTATTTAACTATAAGAAAAGAAGGAAAAGAAAGTGCTAGATAACCAAAATCTCCAGATCTTGTATTAAATACGAATGACAAACGTCAAGAGTGCACAGCTTGTATTGACAAACTAACCACATTCATTTAAGTATAATTATGAAGTATGAATAGTAGAACAAAATATGATACTGTAACATGTATGTAAATGATATGTTTAAACAATTTAGTGCCAATTAAACAATACTATCTAAATCAAATTAGAGTTTTAGGGCCTGTTATTTATAAATTTTTGTTTCAAAAATTCTCTGCTGAAAATCAACAATAAAAAATTCTTAAATTTTTTTCTCAACTTGAATCTTAACAATAATTGATAGTCAATTAAAACAATGGATTTCATGTAAATAAGCTAATTATTTCTTAAGGTCAAATATTCATTTTAGTTTTAGAGGCTCCTTTCTTGCTTTCACGCACAGTGAGTATAAAGTACATCTTGTATCCCCTTCTCAGTTACCAACACTACAGCGTTCCAGAATAGAAGAGTTCTTACTCAAATTTTCCCCACGAAAAACACACCAGCTTCAACCTCCAGCATCTAATACCACACGTTCCATCATCGCAAAACTTCAAAAAAAAATAATCTGTCAACAAAACGTGAATTTAAAACGCAATAAACTAAATAACACCCCCACACCGGGATATAAATTGTTCAATTAATAATAATTAGTTACAGAACAATAAATAAAGATATCTGCGTCTAACTCCAGTCCTAATGAAATCAATAACTTCCCCTTTTTTTTTTTTTTTTTTTCCTTTTCCTTCCCTTTTCACCCAATTGAAAAAAGGAGAGAAAAAGAAAAACCCTAGATCCTGCATGCAACACAGAACAGATTCCCATTCCATCAACATTCACTGAATTCAACGCAGATAAAGAAATCTCCTAACTAGGCGCAATCAGCATTCAAAGATTTCATTCAAAACTACGATTTTAACGGTCGCCATTAAATTAACCAAACCATAAATTAATGGAAAAATTTTCTAGACTCGTCGTTGTTCCGTTCATTAATCGCGCAGCGGCAAGAAATAAAAATAAATAAAATAAAAAAATCCACCACGGTCGAAAAGAATCGAGCCGGAATTAGGGTTTCTGGAAAACAGGAAAAGAGAAAATTGCAGCACAATAAACAGGAAATAAATAAATAAAAAATAGCAAACCCTAACCCTAACGGAAGAAGAAAGAGAGAAAAAAGGGTAAAATATAATTAGAAAGAGAAAGAGACGGCGATGAAACCTGAAAGTGAGGGTTTCTGTGAGTGAGTTTAGGGTGGTGGGACAGTGTGTTTCCTAACAAAGAGGCAATTAGGGTTTTTTTTGTCTGATTGGGTTTTACGAGAAAATGCGCAGAGTGAGTCAGTAGAGAGAGAAAGTGAGACAGTGGAGTGTGCGAATGAGGCTGCACTTGCGTATTCTATTATTATATAGGATTTTGAGGAAGGGAAAACTTATGAATCTACCCCTAAAACATCACAAGATATTTTAATTTATGTTTTCAAAATAAAAATTTTATTTATGATAATAACTAAAGAAACAAAAATTTTAGTTTCTTTTGAATGTTTTAAATTTTTTTATTTCTATGATGTTATTTATTTTTACTTTCTTTTCTATTTACCTAAATAAATTTTGAGAATTTTCATTTTTTATTTATTTGTTTATATATATGAATGATGTATTATTTATTTATTTATTTATTTATTTTCTTATTCGTCGTCTAAATTTTATGTTGTAGATTCACTTTAGATAATTACCAACGTGGGAATGGGAAATTAATGAAGTGTGCGTTTGGGTCTTCTTTGATGATCTATGCTTTATTTATTTATATATAAAGTTACCTTAATTTATCTGAGTGACGTAAAGGCAAATACTAATTATTGTTTGGAAACATGTTAAACACTTCTTATGTGTGGATCTCCAATAACTAATAGCAGTTTTGTGTTAATTTCAGTGCATGTTTAATTTCACATGTAAATTCTTCATAAATCACATTAAAATATTTGATAACATTAAAATAAAGATGAGCCAGTAAGTGTATTGTTGAATGAAAAAAGTTGAGAAATAAAAAGTAAAAAAAGAAGGGACATGTATGAAAAGTGGTAAGAAAGAGACAGAGTAATAGGAGAAGAAAAAGAGTGGAGGAAGAGAAGGTGGATGAAGAAAACAATTTTAAAAATAATTTTTTTTTAAAAACAAGTTTAAAAGGTACATTTAAGGAAACTTTTAGAAAAATTAGAAAAGGGGAGGTATATCTAACATTTTCCTAAAAATATTAAGATGCTAAATATGTTAGAATTTTCCAATAAATTCTTGTAGATTGCTATTAATTGTGGTTGTTTTTTCTTTATCAAAATTAGGCTAATATTATCATCTATTTGATAATATTTAAACTCATTAATAGTGTAACCAAATATCCTTTGACATGTAATTATGAAAAATCAATGTAGATCTAACTTTAAAGCTCATAATTGAAGGTGCATATAAGATTAATAAATAGTGTGACTAAATTCCTTTTGTCATTCTTGTAACAAATAATATGGTCTCAAGCCTATGAAAATCTAAAATATTGGAGTGACAAACAAAAACTTTGTGGCACCTTTCTACCTCAACCCAAAGCATAATAAGTAAATATTTTAAAATAAAAATTAAAATAAAAATATTATAAAATACTCAACATTATAAAAAGGTTCACAATACTTATAACGGTCTATATGGATGAATAATTTTAAAAATTTAAGAAATTTAAAATTCTTAAAATTTGAATTACTTTAATTTTAATTCTCATCATTTTTTTAATGTCTTGGAAAAATCAATTCAAAAAATTTTAATTTTAAATTTTTAATTTGGATAGGAAAATTTAATATTCACCATGAATAAAATTGAATTTAACTATATATATATATATCAAAATCTTAAGATATAATTTTATAAAACTAAATATTATCTCATTTTTAAATATTTAATTTTTCAGAAAATAATATTAGATAATATTTAATAATTTAAAACTAATTTTGAATATTCAATAATTAAAAAATTCATATTATTTAGGTTAAACTGCACTTTTGATCCCTTTATTTTTGTTGATCTATAATTTTGGTCCTTCTATTTTAAAATAAAGACATTTAGTCCCTTTATTTTAAAAAATTTAAAATTTTGGTTCTCTCGTTAATTTCATATTGGTTAATTATTAAATTTTGGCAGTGTTCAATGATTTGTCACCACTTAATTAATGTGATATTTAGTTACTTGACATATAATGATAAAAGTTAAAAATTTGCATATTAAAAAAGATCTTTATTTGTAACTATTTTTACAAGTGATTAGTATTTATTTGATTAATAAAAATCTTCTTTGCATTTTATAGTTGTTTTTTTATTTCTAAATGTATTGTTACTAAATGCCATATCACTTAAGTATAAATAAATATTAAACCTAAAGATTAGAAGGTATCAATTTGACAAGTGGACCAAAATTTTGTATTTTAAAATTAAAGGGACTAAATGTCCCTATTCTAAAATAGAAAGACTAAAATTGTGGATTGATGAAAATAAAAGGATTAAAAGTAAATTTTAGTCTATTTTTTATGTCTACTTTGAAAGAGAGAAGAGGGAAGTAAGAAAAAAAGATAAAGAATAATTTCAAATTCTTATTTTTTGGGGAGAATTTGAAATTTTAAAATTTTAAAGATTTTAAAAAATGCTTGACTTTTAAATTCTTTGTAAAGTCTCAATCTTAACATAACATTTTACATCAAAGCATTTGAAATTCTCAAAAAAATTGAATTACTCGATTAAAATCCCCATTTAAAGACATCATTAATCTTAATACTACTAAATCTAGGATAGCCTCCAATTTTCCCCCTCTTTTATAAGAATAATCATGTCATTATAAATATTAAATTCAAACATTTTCTATTAATTACAAACATATTTATTAACATTTAATAAATTTAAACACACTAATTAAACACACAAATAATTCTTTACTAATTGCTAGGAATATAATGGTTTTTTGATCATCAACATTCAAATTCACATTCAATTTGTATGATTATAAGAAATGTGCATCTAAATTATAATATTTTTCTTATTAATTATGAAAATTTTGACAATCTATATGACAATTTTTATTGGCATTAGAAATTATGTAATCATGGAATGTAGATACTTTAAAGAAATAAAAAAATCCCAAAGACTTTATGGACACAAATTCTTCACTTTTCTACATTTTTCTCTCTTTCATTAAATCTTAATTTTTCTGCCAAACATACTTATCTTAATACTATAAAATATATGAAAGTCTCTAATTGTTCTTTCTTAATCAGATATAATCATTTCATTATACATATTAATTAAATATTTCCTATTTTAATATTATTTATGTATAACTATAGTATAATTGAAGTAATTGTATATATTGTAATGTATTTTACTTTGTACATAATGAAATAGTAATAATTATGAAACGAAAGGAAAAATTTAGGGCCCACAACCAACCAAATTAGACCTATGAAACGAGAGGAGATATGTTTGTTAAATTTTTATTTTTGTTTAAAATGTTTTTAAAACAAATTACTCTATTTATAACTTGAATAAAAATTTCAGAAAAAATAACAATAAAAATATCATATTTTTAAAATTATATTTAATTTTTTTATAATAAAAAGTTTTATAACATTTATCTATTTGTACTCTCTTTTCCACTCATCCAAAAAGTAGGAAAAGAGTATCTCTTTTTTTCCTTTTGTATTTTCTATTCATCTACACTACACATTTCTATTCTATTTACATTTTTCAAATCTCTTTCCTTCCTAATTCACTCTTTATCAAAATAAGATTTGCAATCATTTAAAAAAAATTCAAATAACTCCATGCATCACACCACCACACAATTTAACAAATTAGTACAAATAAGATTTATTAACAAAATAAATATCAATCACTTATTAAAATATATACAAATGAAGATCTTTTGTATGTTATTTTTTTTTATAAAAAACTTTTATTCTTACATATTACCTTACTGAATATCATGTCACTCAAGGAATAAGAACATGAAAAATGTTAAAATTTAACAATCAATAAACAATAAATTAATAGAAGACCCAAAATTTCATGTTTTTATAAATAGGAGATTAAATGTCTTTATTTTAAAATAGGGGGACCAAAATTACAAATCGATAAAAATAGAAGGACCAAAAGTGTAATTTATCCTACTTTTAAAAAAAGACTCTTTAATGCAAAGATAATCAAATAACAACATAAGTTCAAATTAAAGCACAAATTGCCTTTTACATAACTTCCAACATAAACACAAAATGTCATAAAATAACACCTAACTCTAAGTACAACTATAAAACCATAAATTATCCATCCTGATGTCACACTAAAGTGCCGAACAATAAATGAAGTGTTATTTATCATCTCCATCAAACTCTTCCTTCTATACTTACTTGGTCTACTCCTACAATTGTGATCAGCCCAAACAAACATAGGGAGTAAAAATATATCTCATTCATGTACAACACGTGTGAGGCATAGGATAGCACTAACAAGACATGTATCATAATTAAACATCATGCATTTACATTTATATCCAACATTTAAGGCACACTCATCTCAATAATATCAATCACTCCACGAACATCCATAATCATCAATGTGACACCCTCTACCCCAACATATATATATATATATATTCTTGGGGCTTCTCATGTTTATTAGGGCTTGGCACTTGTCGGGGTTTGCTTCAATTCCTCGGCAAGTGATCATGAAACCTAAGAATTTGCCTCCTTGAACGCCAAAGACACATTTGTCTGGGTTTAACCTCATGTTATGTTTTCGTATTTGCCCAAACATTTCTACAAGGTATTCGATATGATGCGCAACGGATTTCGTCTTGATAACCATATCGTCAACATACACTTCAAGGTTACGACCGATTTGACTGGTGAAGACATTGTCCATGAGTCTTTGATAAGTGGCTCCTGCATTCTTGAGTCCAAAGGGCATGACATGGTAACAATAATTGGCTTGTTCTATGATGAAAGCAGTGTGTTCTTCATCAGGAGGGTACATCAATATTTGGTTATAGCCTGAGTAGGCGTCTAGGAAACTGAGCATGGCATATCCTGAAGCTCCATCAACCAATCTATCAATGCTGGGAAGTGGATAAGCATCCTTTGGGCAAGCTTTATTTAAGTCCGTGTAGTCAACACACATGCGCCATTTGCCATTGGATTTTTTAACCATCACCACATTGGCTAACCAAGTGGTGTAGTTAATTTCTCGGATAAATCCTACACTCAAAAGTTTCTGTGTCTCGACCCTGACGGCTTCTCTTCTTTCTCCTCTAATTTTTCTTTGTTTCTGAGA